GATTAAATAATAAGTAAAAGTTATTGTTAAATTCAGGCTTCGTTTCATAATGCTTCATCGGCAGCATTGCTTTTATTTCTCACAAGCACTGGGAGATGGATATTATTGATTAAAAGGTGAGCAACAGCCCTGGTGGCTTATCAGCTACCTAGTGTAGTATCAGGATGGGAAGGACAAAGTGGCAGAAGCTTGGGCTTCTAATTTCAGTTTGTGCCACACTGCATTGTGGGGGTTTAGAACAAGCCACCCCAAAATGTGCCTCTGGTATGCAGATTTTTTTTGAGCTAAAGGTAACTTAGCCACCCGCTCAAGAAAAATTGCCCCTCCCTTAACTATCTAGAACTTGAATTAGGGGCCTTGCCTATAATAAGAGATTATTTTATCACTTTTGACCTATCGATAGGGTAGGACAATGGTTGGCAAACTCATTAGTTAACAGAGCCAAATATCAACAGTACAGCGATTGAAATTTCTTTTAAAAGCCAAATTTTTAAAACTTAAACTTCTTCTAATGGCCACTTCTTCAAAATAGACTTGCCCAGGCCTTGGTATTTTGTGGATGAGCCACACTCAAAGGGCCAAAGCGCCACATGTGGCTTGAGAGCCACAGCTTGCTGACCATGGGTGTAGGACAAACTTTTATTTACTGAACATATGCTTTTCTTATCCTCTTGCAATGGCCCTTTGAAACTAGCATAGGATGTCTTATACATCCATTTCCCCCTTTCTGTCTCTGAACCTCTCCAGCAGGTGGGGTCACTGATTCTCAGGTATTAAATTTGGTCACTTTCTTGCTAATCTTCTCATGTATTATTAGACCAGTGGAAAGCACCTTGAGAGTAAAGTTTGTTCCTCCCCCACAGCATCTCTGAGATGATATGGAACCAACAAACAGATCAAAATACAAGGGAAGCCTGGCAGGTGTGGCTCAGCATCAATCCACACATAACGAGGGCTCTGTGTTAAATAAAAGCATTCAAACCTGTAAAGAATTTTTGTGAGTTTGTTTGAGCCATATTGTAGACAATTGAGGGAAGAAGTATCTCAATGGATTGGGATAATGCTACAAAGAATGACGTTTTTAAAATATAATGTAATAAAAGGAGGGGACTTAGTGGGTTACATGAAATCCATTGGTAATAGAGAGGCGGGAGAAAGCAAAAAAAAAAAAAAAAAAAAAAGATGGGGGGAGGAGAACATCTGGAATTGGCTAAAAAGTAAAATGAGAGACGTGCACTTAGGTGAGTGCAGGATAGTTAACGGTCAACAATTAACATGATAACAATAACAATGAAGGAATTTGTGGTATCTGTCCTGGTTGGGCCCCAAGGAGTCCTGAAAAATGGAAGTTACAAGTTACCCGGACATTTCAAGGATATGTTATCATAGATGCAAAAAGACAGACAGGCGAAGCAGTTAAGGTAAAGGTTGATCTTGTCAGTGAAGATACCAGCCTAGGACGTAACTACCCACCATAAATGCTTTTAGTTAAATTTTATTTATTTTTTTACTTAAAAATATATTTTTGTTGATTTCAGAGAGAAAGGGAGAGATAGATACATTAGTGATTAGAGAATCGTTAATTGGCTGCCTCTAAACACCCTTCCCCCCCCCACTGGGGATTAAGCCCAATACCTGGGCTTGTGCCCTTGAGAAGAATCAAACCTCCCCTCCCCTCTTCAGTCCACAGGCCAGCTCTCTATCTACAGAGCCAAACCAGCCAGAGCATATTTCAGATTATCCTTTGTGGTTACTTTAGGTCTTTTTATTTTATTATTATTATTTTTTTTCAAGACCTCCATGCAGCTTGTCAAGTTAGCCCAGGTGTCGGCAACCTGCGGCTCCGGAGCTGCAGGCGGCTCTTTTGAAGCATTGCTGCGGCTCCCAACAGCAGGGCCAATAGCAGGGGCGGGGCGCGGAGCTGTATCCCTTACCTCCACCGCCTCCAGTTCTCCCAGTGCTCTGTGTGGCAGGTTGCTGGCAACTTAGCGTCGCTAGGCAACCACAGCGTCCCTGTCCTGGCCCAGCCTCCTCCCTCACATCACAGCATGAGGGGAAAGAGAGGTACTGATAGAGGGGACACTGAAAAATAATAATAATAAAAAAACAATAACGAGAAAAAAGGGAGAAGTTAAAAGAAGAAGACAGAGAGGACAGAGAGGACTGGAGAAAGAGAAAGAGAGGGCTTGCAGTGTGACTGTCACTGGGAGTCGAGCCTGTACACTAAGTGGAAAGCATATATTCTGACCTCCTGCTCCACAACAAGGTCCGGTGGCTGTTCAGAGGTGAGGTGCTAAAACGCTTTGTCGTATGTTTGGAAGAAGTAAAAACTTTCCTGTCCAGCAAAGAGCTCACCTTTGCTGAGCTGGAACAACCAGAGTGGCTGGAAAAGTTACATTTTATGGTAGACATGACAGCACATCTAAACACACTAAATACAACCCTTCAGGGGAAAGGAGGCACAGCCCTGACATGCTGGAGGAGGTTTTGGCATTGGAGCGCAAGTTGACAGTGTTTGTCAAAGATTTACAGAGAGGTACACTGTCTCACTTTCCCTCTTTGAGAGAGTTCAAACAAAGTCATTATACGATAAATTTGGAATATTTGAAGTCTGCAATCACCACAATGCAAAGTTTGTTTGGGAAACGATTCTGTGAGTTCAGAGAGGAAAAAACCACATTATCCTTTCCTGTCACTCCCCTGGCGATCGATCCACTCCTATTGAATATGACTGCATTTGCAGGTGTCAGTCAACCTGATCTTGAGATGGAACTGTCCGATATAAGCCGACAAAGGTATATGGGTGTCCAAGTTCAAATGCTTGGCCACTACTCTTGAGGATGTTGCCCTTCAGAAGGCCATTCTGGCTCAGAATCATAAATGGAGTGATATTGAAAACCTTCCCAAACAGGACAAACTTGTGTTCGAAACATGGAATGCCATCCCCAACACTTATACAATATAAACATGAAAAAGTATGCATTTGGAGTCCTGTCGATCTTCGGCTCCACATATGTATGTGAGCAGGTCTTCTCCAACATGAACTATATTAAAAACAAACATCGGTCACGCCTCACAGATGACAACTTGCAAGCCTGTGTAAAAATGAAGGTAATGTCTTACAGCCCTGATGTGCAGACACTGTGCACTGAGGTTCAGGAGCAAAAATCCCATTAACCAGGTAAATTAAATATTTTAATTAGCTATTAATTTGCAAAAATATATTTTACATTGTTAAGTGAAAAAGTCTTTTTTTTTCTTCAGATTGACAGCTAACTGCATGATCTGGTATATAGCATTAAAGTAAGAAACAATATATGCAGTGTTATATTTGTTTTAAATGTCGCAATGGTTTTGCGGCTCCCAGGTTTTTTTTTTTTTCCTTCGGAAACGGGTCCAAGTGGCTCTTTATGTCTTAAAGGTTGCCGGCCCCTGAGTTAGCCTGTGGCCCCTTTGGTCCATCTCTGTATGATTCCCCCTCAGGGCACACACCTGAGTTGCTGGCAGGATCCCCAGTAGAGGGCACGCAGGAGGTAGCCAATTGAAATTTCTCTCTTATCAATGTTTCTATCTCTCTCTCCCTTCTTCTCTCTCTAAAATCAATAACATATTTAAAAAAAATGCAAGGAAAACCCATGCTACTTGCTGTTACGGAGCGAGTCCCCAAGAGATGGACCACCGGAGCCAATTTGATTAAGCATGCTAGAATTTATTACAGATTCGAATCTGGACTCAAACCATGGCTGACGCAGCAGCCGGTAAACACCCAGGTAAGAGCCCTGATGGAGGGGCAGTCTCTCCAGAGCGCTCACACAAAAACACAGACAAACACACACCTACCGTGGCCAGTCAGGCTCTTCGGAATGGGGGTCCCTCATGGTCCTGGCTGGGGATTCCAGACGAATTCGTGATCCCCAAGGACCACCAGGGAGCCGAGTCCGATGCAATAAACAAAAGAGCCATCTCCATGCTAGCATGGGCTATCCCACTCATGCCGGCAGCATGGCGGAAGAGAGCGAATTTCGCACAGTCCAGGGGTTCTACTCAGGTCGGTGATGTCACTGCCTAACCCTGATTGGCCCCTCAGGACTAAATTCTAAAGACTGGGGACAGCCGGCAGGGTCGGTTCCCAGTCACACCCTGCTTGACATTGGATGTGGCCCTATCTTGCCCATAATACAAAAGCAGAGCTAAAGGTTATCTACAGTTTCTACCCCTGAAGCTACTGAGTCAGTGGGTGTCAATCTCCTGCAACTACCCTATTGTTCAAGCAAGTAATCGAAGGTCGAAGGTCGAAGTCAGATAGCAAGGTTAAAATTCAAACAGCAGTTTTTACCCAAGTATGAGTGCTACCATATTTCACTTGCAACTTGTCAAAACTCCTGAAACAGCCTAAAAGCCGTATGCATTACATCTTACTAAGGAGTCCCTTCTCTCCCACTGCTCAGAAAATGGCAGGACGGAGGTATGAAGGGTTGCAAACGTGATTTCATTGGTGAGAGCCCACAAACGGCGGTGGCTCAGACTGCAAAGCGGCGGAAGGACCAGCCTTCCGGGATGCGCTCCTCTGATGATACAGCCGCACTCACGCGCTCAGCCTCGGAACGGGGCACGCCGCCAGCGGGATGGCTGCTGGCAGGCTCATCAAACAGCCCTAGAGCGCAATTAGTCACCGTCCTCCTCCTCCTCAAAGCCACCGTCTCCCTCCCTCACATACCCACGCACCTCGTTTCCCCCGCAGGCGGCGGGATTCCCAGGCTCCTCCCTTCGCTGACTCCCAGAACTCCCTCCCTGACACCACCCCGCAGCCCGCGCTGCCATGGCAACCGTACGCCGCGCCGCCGCCCCTTCACGCACGTCGTGAACTAACGGATTCCGTAGCGGCGGAGCGGTGGCCAGGGCTCCACCCCCGCCCCACCTGACCTGGACCGCATAGCCATCAGTCGGCCTGCCTCCGGCATCGGGGTAATGAGTCCAGGAGAAACCGGCGTGAGCGGGAGAGCAGGCGGTGGGGCGCCCAGGGTGACAGCCATACTCGGTCCCCTGTCGCTGGCCCCTGAGCGCCAGCCTTCGCGCCGGGAGCGGGAGAGGCGCGGGTCATTGTGGGGATTGTAGTGCAGTGGCTTCTCTGGCTCATGGTTTTGGATGGGCGGCCTGGACGGGTGACTGACTACAAAGCCCAGCGGCCCCGACGGCTGGGAGAGACCGATAAACCTTAAGCGGACCGCAGGAGTGAATAATCTCTCTTTGTGGTGAGGGGTTCTTGGGTGGTCGCGGAACGTGACTCTGTGGAGCTAGGAAAGGGAAGTGGAGGTGAGACTTGACTTTCCGCCCAGCCGTGGGCCCGCCCTGGTTGCCGGGCTTGGCCCTCCCGGGCGGGGCCAGCGCCTGGCGTTGTCTCAGGGAGGAGCCGCCAGCCACCCCTGGGCCTGCGGAGCCTCTGACCCCCAGGTTGCTGCCTCTCGGTGCAGAACCATAGGTATGGCACACGTTTGATGTGAGACCCGAGGAGCTCAATTTTATCAGACTCTCCTTTCCCTGATACGTTTATTTCTACATATTTAATTATGTTTATTCTGCAGTAGCCCAGAGGTGTTTGCATACTAAACCCATTGATTAATAATTCATTGACGTTTAAGGGTTAAGTCTAGACATGGTAAAAGATACCTTGCTATTATATGGTAGTACCTGGAGTTTTTGCCGTTTTGCATTTTTGCATTTTACTTCTTGAGGGTTAGGATTGCAAAATGAGTTATCCTCCTCCCCCAGCTTAAACAGTGCCTACACATATTTTGATTCAATTTTGAAGATTAGGTCAACTCTAAAAATGGAAGACTTTTTTTTTTTTTTTTTTTTTTTTTTTAGCAGTGAGTAGTATTTTTATTTTTATTTTTTATTAGTCAGCTGTTTTTTAGAATTTCTCAGGAGCATGCTTTCAGGATGAAAAATGCCGTATTCTATTATATTACTACTACTGCTATTTTTAATCAGTGCTTTGGAGTACCCTTAGTCCCCAGAGTTGGCTTAGGTTTTGGTGGTAAGGAAGCTGGCACAGACTTGGGCAAACCTGCCTTGACGATCCTTAGAATTTTTTTCTTTAATAGATAACCATTCTAGAAATTTTGTGTTTTATATAGGGTGTTGGAAAATTGTTGGTATTATAGTGTGCTTTTTTTGTGTGTGTATTTACTTTTTATTATTTTTAATATATTTTATTGATTTTTCAGAGAGGAAGAGAGAGGGATAGAGAGTTAGAAACACCGATGAGAGAGAACATCTATCAGCTGCCTCTTGCATACCCCCTACTGAGGATGTGCCTGCAGCCAAGGCACATGCCCTTGACTGGAATTGAACCCAGGACCTTTCAGTCCACAGGCCGATGCTCTATCCACTGAGCCAATCCGGTTTCGGCTTTGTGTGTATTTAAACAATAAAACAATTCAAGGCCGGTATCCAATTCCTTTTGTCAATTAAAATGAAGCTAGCCTCTGTAAATTTTTCTTAAAATAGCAATTTTGTACAAGGATATGGAAAGTAGGTTTGGTAAGACCATTAGAAAAAAATTAAAGCAAAAAATTAAAGCCTTCTGTTATATAGTAGTAGAGGCTCAGTGCATGAATTCATGCACAGGTGGGGTCTGTCAGCAGATTAGGGCCAGACAGGCTGGGGGGAGGGGCTGTGGGTGATTGGCTGGTGGGCCCCACCTCCGATTGGGGTGGGGGTTTATTGCAGGTAGAACTGGCTGGGGGAGGCCTGTGGGCCAATTGGGGTGGTGGGGACTGATCAGGAGTGGGTCCTGTGGGGGGGGGGAGGGGCTTTGGGCCAATCGGTGGGACCAGCCAGGGAGAAGGACTGCAGGAGGTTGGCTGGTGGCCGGGGTTGACTAGGAAGAGGGGTGTCAGGAGGTTGGCTACTGGCCCCACCCCATGATCAGCCAGTTCACTGGCTACAGTGGGCGTCATGGTGACCAGTCATTCCGGTTGTTCCAGTGTTCTGGTTGCTATCTTTATATATATATATATATATATATATATATATATATATATACACACACACACACACACACACACACACATAGATACATAGATAGATAGATAGGGACTTGAAGTATTTTATTTATTCATTTAGGATTTATTAAGAATGTATTATGTGCTAGGCATTATGCCAGGTGGTGGGAGTATAGAGATGATACTGTAGAAGATGGTGGGTGTCCTGCATGGGGAAGAGTCATGTCATCACAGTACCAGTAGTGGTCTGGAGATGGGTACAAGTTGCTATAGGAGCCCAGAGTAGGAATTAAAAGTAATATAACACTAACATGTACCCTGTTTCCCTGAAAATAAGACAGTGTCTTATATTAATTTTTTCTCCCAAAGTTGCGCTAGATCTTATTTTCAGGGGATGTCTTATCTTTCCATGCGCTAGGTCTTATTTTTGGAGGATGTCTTATTTTAGGGGAAACATGGTATTGAATACTTACTCTTTAGCCCCTTAGAGAATCCTCACAGTTTTGTGAAATAGCAACTGTCATTTAGAAATGAGAAAACAGACATAGAGATCTTGGCCAAAGTCATAGCTAATAAGATTTGAACCTGGGATTTCAATCTGCATGTGTCTAACTCATCTGAGTCAGGAATTCATTTAATAGTGCCATTCTTTGTACACATTTATAGAAGATTCTGACTGTAAACTTTTTCACTGGAGAGAGGATGAGGAAAGTCATTCTAGGTAAATGGAACAACATGCTTTTTGGATATATTTCAGTGCTTTGTGTTTGAGGGAAAACTAGGCCATTCTGATGACTGAATCCCAGAATACAGTAGTATAGTGGGTGAGGCCAGATCTAAAAGTGCTCAAGTACCATGATAAAGAGTTTAACATTTTCTCCAACCTAGAGTGAGCACTGAAGAATTTCAAGTGAAGTAGTGTTATTGGATTTGTGTTTTAGAAAGAAAAACTCCAGCTTCATTGTGGAGAATGAACCTTGGAGAGGATAGATTTAGAGTGGTGGTAAGGAAACCAATTTTAGAGAAACAATAACAACAACATCCAGTGGAGAAATGAAGAGAATCTGAACTAAGTAGTTGAAAGTATAAAAAGAGATGGATTGTAGAAATATCTATCTTCTTATATATATAAAAGCCTAACATGCAAATTATCCCCTTGGGAGTTTGGGAGACCGGGAGTTCAATTGCTTGCTATGAGGTGTGCTGACTACCATGGGGTGGCGTGGAATGAAGGAAGGCCCTGACCAGTACCCTGACCAGCAGTTGGGGAAGGGAGGCCGGGGGGGGGGGGCGGCAATGGAGGAGGGATAGGAGGGGGAGGAACTACGGAAGACTCCGATTAGCTCTGACTGCTGGCCAGGCCTAGGGACCCTACCCTCTAGTTTAAGAGATATAATTGATCTGACTTAAGAGTCTGGGTGTTGGGGCTAGAAAAATTTGGAACTGTAAGACAACTGATTCCTAGTTTCCTGGCTACAATGACTGACAGGATCATGAAACCATTGGTGGAGGTGAGAAGGAGCAGGTTTTTGTGGCGGTGAAAGATAAAGATAAATCAGTTCAGTTTTGATTAAGGTTCCTGTGGGGCATTCAGGTAAGGATGCATTTGGATCTGGAATTCTGGAGAGAGCCCAGGGCTAGAGGTCGAGCTTTGCTTGCTCATAGTGAAGTTATAGAAGGGAATGGACCAGTTCACAGAGAAGGAATGTGTAGAAATGAAGAAGGGAGAAGTTTGTATATAGAACTCTTGCAAAGCAGCAGCATTTGTGGTGTATGTTGGGCATTTTTGAGAGGAAGTGTGAGTAAAGCTGACACAGTATACTGAGATTAAGAGACAGAGAGGAAGAACCCCAGAGAGCACGCATAACAAATGACAAAGGAGAAGGAAAGTAAGCACAGAGTGGGCCAGAGTATCAGGTGCCTTGGAGAGTGCAAGTAAGGTTAAAGATAGAAGTGTGTCCAATGAATTTGGTGGCTTCAAATAATTTCTAAGCTTTGCAGTAATTAAGAAGAGGAATCTGAGCATAGGTTACTTGAAAAAAAAAGTTTAAAATTTTGCATAATAATATATATCAAAAGGAAAAGGAAATAAATGAGCGCCCATGAGTCCATCACCTATCTGGAAGAATGAACACATAATCAATTTTGTTTCATCTATAACTCCTGCCCCCCAACTGGATTATTTTATAGCTAAACTCAAATATCATATCCTTTTTATCTGTAATTATTTAAATACATATCTTTAAAAGTTAAGGATTACTTAAAAATATGTAAGTATAATATTCTACTCAAAAAATTGACAGTACTTCCTTAATATAAAATTATCAGTCACACTACTTGTTTGATTTTGAGAGTACATTTATTGCAGCTGGGGACAGCGAAACAAGGAAGGGCTTAGAATAGAGGATGCAACAGGTCAGAGCCACGATAGGGCTCCTGTGAGCTTTCTGAGAAAAGGGAGCCTTGGAGACAGATTTCAGCGGGTTAGTCCAGAATGAGTTGCTGCTGCCTATTGCTCCCCTGGAGCCAAATTTTTTAAACTTAAACTTCTCCTAACTCCACTTCTTCAGAATAGACTCGCCCAGGCCGTGGTATTTTGTGGAAGAGCCACACTCAATGGGCCAAAGAGCCGCAGTTGGCCGACCACGGGTTTAGGCGATCCCTGCCTGAGAGGGAAGAAAGGCCTGGGTGTGCTCCTGGGAGGGAGTGTTCTACCCAAACCTTTATTTTAATGAAGCATGGTTATGTAGAAAAGAAAGAGATGAGGCAGTAACAAAAAAGGTTTGTAGGTTGTTTTATTTTGTTTGTTTGCTTTAAGATTGATAACATGCTATTAGGAAGGAAAAACCAATGAAAAGGAAATGTTTGAAGATGTAGAACATGCTATTAGGGGGGAAAAACCAATGAAAAGGAAGTTTGAAGATGTAGAGCAGTGCTCTAAGACAGAGCACTAAGTTAAGTATACAGTTTTACTTATATGTTCCCAAAAATTCTAGTTTAGCGCTTCGTAGTTGGGATTCGGGAATCTGTATTTTAACAACTCCACCAGGTGATTCTAATCATGAGAGAAGTTTGGGAAACACTGATGTAAAGGATGAAAAGAGAGGAGAGAGCTGATAGAGAGAGGTCCCCCAAAATATAGGAAAGGACAGGATGAGCAGGGTGAGACAATTAATTTGTTGCATTGTATCAATATAAGTGCCAACTAAGTGCTGGCTGTGTTCCTAGGTGGAATGCTGGTGTCTGTAGGAGTGAATTGCACTGAGAAGGAAGAAGAGGTGAGGATACTAGCAGATAGGACATTTA